CCTCCTTCCAGCTGGATGTGGCTGCTGCTTTAATTTCGTAGTTGTAGGACTTCCATTCAGCTCAATTTTAGGCGGTTTTGAATGATGGTTGTTCTGTAGTTTAGTTGTAACTTTGACGTGGTTGTGGGAGGACGCGATACCATGTTTACCTACGCTGCCATCTTGACCGGAAGCCTCAGCACACCAATTCTTGCGGCACTCTACTGTGCTGGAGCACATGAGTTGAAAATGGCTGCTCTATAGCATTAAGATGAGGGTCCTTTTCCTAGGCCTTATTGAAATCTCAGATATAGTTTAAGTTGTTAATAACCATGTTATGTGAGCCCTGGCCAGTGTGGTTGGAGTGTCATTCTATACACCAAGAGGTGTTAGGTTGGATTGCCGGTCAGGGCATATATCCAGGTTGTGAGTTCGATGCCTGATCAGGGGTACATGTGGGAGGCAACCAACAGATGTTTCTCCCTCACATCGATGTCTCTCTCTCTCTCTCTCTCTCTCTCCCCCTTCCTCTCTCTAAAAATCAATCAACGTTTTAAAGAATCTTACTTAACTGACATTAAGAAAACATATTATGTGAAAGTATAAGGTGTGCATAATTGGTAAACAATGAATACAGTCAAGAAAGATCAAATGGTAATAGTTTTTTAAAGTAATATTTTTTTTAAGAAAACACAGGCAGTAAAATCACTGACATTTATCTTAGCAATAATCCCTAAGAAGTAAAACTGTCATTACTTGCAGATGACATGATACAATATATAGAGAACCCTAAACAGTTCACAGGAAAACTACTAAGACTGATAAATGAATTCAGTAAAGTATCAGGATACAAAATAAATATCCAGAAATTGGTTGCAGCTTTTTAAATATATTTTAAAAATTTATTTTTTATTTTATTTTTTCCCACCATTTATTTAAATCACAATTTATCTCCTATATGCCCTCTTCCACCTCCACTCACCCTCCTTCCCCCTGAAATCACCACACTGTTGTCCATGTCAAGAGTTATCTCTCTTTTTTTTCTCAATCCCTGCACCACCCCCAAAATGCCCCACCAGAACTGTCTGCCTGCTCTCTATCTATGAGTCTGTCTGTGTTGCATTTTTATATACTGACAATAAATAAACTATCAGAAAGGGAAACTAAGATAACCCCATTTACAACTGCATCAAAACAAAACAAAGAAAAACCTAGGAATAAATTTAACCAAGGTAGTCAAAGACATGTACTTGAAAAGTTGTAATACACTGGGGAAAGAAACGGAAGAACATACAAAAAAATGGAAGTATATACTGTGCTTGTGGCCAGGAAGAATTAACACCATTACAATGTCCAAAGCAACCTATAGATTTATATCAAACTACCAAAGACATTTTTCACAGAACTAGAACAAATAATCCAAAAACTTATGGGAACCACAAGAGACCCTGAATAGCCACAGCAATCTTGAAAAAGAACAAAGTTGGAGTATAATGTTACCTGATATCAAACAATAGTATAAGGCCATAGTAATCAACACAGTCTGATACTGGCATAAAAACACACATAGATCCATGGAACGTAACAGAGAGCCCAGAAACATGCCCATGCCTATATGGTCAATGAATATATGAGAAAGGAGGCAAGAGCATACAATGAGGTAATGACAGTATATTCAATAAATGGTGTTGGAAAAATTGGACAGATACATGCAATAAAATGAAATTAGACTACCTTTTTATACCACATACAAGAATAAACTCAAAATGGATTAAACCTTTAAGCGTAAGACTTGAAACCATAAAACTCCTAGAAGAAAATACAAGGAGTAAAATCACTGACATTTCTCTTAGAAACATTTTTTCTGATGTATCTCCTCGGGTAAGAGAAACAAAGAAAAATATAAACAAATAGGACTACATCAAACTAAAAAGTTTTTGCACAGAAAAAGAAATAATCAACAAAACAAAAAGACAATCTACTGAATGAAGGAAGGTATTTGTCAATGGTACATCTAATAAGGGGTTAATATCCAAAATTTATAAAGAACTCAGATAACTCAACACCAAAAAAACACAAACAATCCAATTAAAAAAATGGGCCCTGGCTTTGATCCCCATCCCTGGTCGGGGTTGAGCAGGAGGCAACCAATCGATGTGTCTCTCTCACATGGATGTTTCTCTCTCTCACTCCCTCCACTCCCTCCCTTCCACTCTAAAAAAATTAATGGAAAAGTATGCTCACGTAAGGATTAACAAAAAATGGGGGGGCTTGGCTGGGTGGCTGTTGGTTGGAGGGTTGGAACATTGTCCCATACACCAAAAGGTGGCAGGCTTGAATCCTGGCCAGGGCACATACCGAGGTTGTGGGTCAATCTCCAGTCAGGGAGTCAGGGCACTTACAGGAGGCAGCCAATTGATGTTTCTCTGTTTCTCTCTCTCTCTCTCTCTCTCTCTCCCTCTCTCTCAAAAGCAATAAAGAATATATTTTCAGGAGAGGATTACCAAAAAAAAAAAAAAAAAAAGGGCAGAGTAATTGAATAGACACTTCTCCAAAGAAGACATGCAGATCACCAATACACATATAAAAAGATGTTCGTCGCCCTGGCCAGTTTGGCTCAGCGGTTAGAGCGTCGGCCTGTGGTCCAGAGAGACCTGGGTTCGGTTCCCGCTAAGGGCACGTACCTCGGTTTCAGTTTGTCCCCGGCCCTGGTTGGTCGTGCGGGTGGCAGCCACTCGATGTGTCCCTTCACGTCGATGTTTCTCTCTCTCTCTCTCTCTTCCTCTCTCTCCCTCCCACTCTATCTGTACAAAAAATGGAAAAATGTCTTCGGGTGAGGATAAAAAAAAAAAAAAAAAAAAAAAAAGATGTTCGTCACTAATCATCTGAGAAATGCAAATTAAACCACAATGAGGTATTGCCTCACATCTGTCAGAATGGCTATCGTCAATAAATCAACAAACAAGTGTTGGTAAAGATCTGAAAAAAAAGGAACCCTATGAACTGTTGGAACTGTTGGTGGTATCACAGATTGGTGCAGCCACTGTGGAAAACAGTATGGCATTACCTCAAAAAACAAAAAACAGAACTGCCTTATGACTCAGCAATTCCAAATACACACACACACACACACACCTCCCCCCAAAAAAAACTAAAACACTAATTCAAAAGTATGTATGCATCCCTATGCTCATTGTAGCATTGTTTACAATAGCCAAAGAATGGTAGCAACCCAAGTGCCCATCAACAGAGGTGTGGATAAGAAAGTTGTGGTACATATATACAATGGAATATTACTTGGCCAAAAAAAAGAGAAAGGAACCTGCCTGGCCAGTGTGGCTCAGTGGATTGAGTGTCACCACCTGAACGTTGTCCTATGGACTGAGAAGTCCTGGATTGATTTCCGGTCAGGGCACATGCCCGGATTGTGGGCTCGATCCATGCAGGAGGCAGCCAATCGATGCATCTCTCTCACATCAATGTTTCTGTCTCTCACTCCCTTCCTCTCTAAAAAATGATATATTTAAAAATAAAGGAACCTTACAATTTGCAATAGCATGGCTAGACCAAGAGAGCATTGTGCTAAGTGAAATAAGTCAGTCAGAGAAAGACAAATACCATATGATTTCACTTATATGTGAAATTTAAGGAACCACGTAAATAAACAAGTGAAACTGAAAAAGCTGAAGAAATTAATAAGTACAAATTGGTAGTTACAAAATAATCATAGGGATGCAGAATACAGCATATAGAATATAGTCAATAATATTGTAATAACTATGTATAGTGCCAGGTTGGTACTTTAAATTCAGGGGAACACTTTGTAAAGTATGTGATTATGCAACTACTATGCTGTACACCTGGAACCAATATAAAATAATATTAAGATATTAAGTGAAAACTGTAAATAAAAAATAAAGCATGAGTTCCTCAAAAAGGACAAAGTCCTTAAATGTCAATTCTGCTTATAATAGGTCTTAGAGAATATAATTTATTTTTTATTATTCATTTAAAAAAAACCCCTAAGATTCTAATGATTCTGTGCAGAATCGATGGACATATAAAGACCTTCTCAGACAAGAAAAAACTAAAGGAATTCACCACCAAACTAGTATTATATGAAATGTTGGAAGGTCTTCTTGAAGAAGAAGATAAAAAATATAAAAAATAAAATGGCAATAAATACATTATCTATCAACAATTTAATCTACAAACCAAATGACCAAGCAGAACAGAAACAGACTCAGATACAGAGAACTTTAAAAAAAAAATTTTTTTTCCTTTCTTGATTTTAGAGAGGAAGTGAGAAGGAGAGAGAGATAGAAACATCAATGAGAGAGAACATCGATTGGCTGCCTCCTGCATGCCCCCCACTGGGGATCGGGCCCACAACCTGAGCATGTGTCCTGACTAGGAATCGAACCAGCGACCTCTTGGTGCATGGGTCGACGCTCAACCACTGAGCCACACTGGCCGGACCAGAGAACTTTTTTAAAAATATGTTTTTATTGATTTTTTAGAGAGAGACACAGAAACATCTATGTGAGAGATGGAGCCCGCAACCCAGGCATGTGCCCTGACTGAGAATTGAACGGTAACCTCTCAGTCCATGAGATGATGCTCAATCCACTAAGCCATACCAAACGTGCTACACAGAACTTTTATGATGGTTGCTGGATGGGAGGAGGCTTGGGAGGATGGGCGAAAAAGGTGAAGGGATTAAGAAATACAAATTGGGCCCTGGCCAGTTTGGCTCAGTGGTTAGAAAACTTATATGTATATATGCATAACCAATGGACACAGACAATAGTGTGGGGAAGACAGGAGGACGGTGTGAACAGGGAGGAGGGGGGGTCAATGGGGAAAAAGGAGGGACATCTGGAATACTTTCAACAATGAAGATAAATTTAAAAAAAGAAACCTAAGACTAAATAGGAAAGACATTATGAATTCCATTTGAAATAACGGACCATACAAAAGACATACCTGTTTTCAAAATGATTTCATTGCTATATAATTACCTCTGTGCTAATATCGTGATATTGATTTGAAGCTGTTCCACACTTGAGCCTGAGTTTTGCCACCAGTTGTTCAAAGTCTGTAACATCACTGAAGCGAAAAGCTGTTTTTCCTTTGATGCTAATAATGACAGCTTTGCTGGAATCATTTGTCTTATCTATAGCTAAGACCTGGGGGGCAAAAACATAAATGAATCACACTCTCCCTTGATGCTTACACCTTCAGGCAAAATATGTTTAGCTTACTCTTTTGTGGCTAAAGTTTAGGTCTCTGGTATAACTCATTAAATAATAGACTGGAAAACTACAATGAGATCTCACCGCACACCTCTGAGAATGGCTGTCATAAAAAAAACGACAAATAAGCATTGGCGAGCATGTGGATAAAAAAGAACCCCTGTGCACTGTTGGTGAGATTAGAATTTTGTACAGTCATTGTGGAAAACTGTATACGGGTTCCTAAAAAAATTAGAAACAGAACTATAATATGACCCAGCATTCCCACTTCTTGGTATTTATCCGAAGAAATCTAAAATACTAATTCAAGGGAGCAGCGACCTGCTCTCTGGGTGGAGATATGTGTAACACACCAAGTTACTGTGACCTAGGAAAGGCTATCAAGGATGTCTTCAACAAAGGATATGGGTTTAGCATGATCAAAATAGATCTGAGAACCAAGTCATGTAGTAGAGTGGAATTTTCTACTTTTGGTCATGCTTATACTGACATAGGGAAAGCATCAGGCAACCCAGAGACCAAATATAAGGTCTGTAACTATGGACTTACCTTCACCCAAAAATGGAACACAGACAATACTCTTGGAACAGAAATCTCTTTGGAGAATAAGTTGGCTGAAGGGTTGAAACTGACTCTTGATACCACATTTGTACTGAGCACAGAAAAGAACAGTGGGAAATTGAAGGCCTCCTATAAACAGGATTGTTTCAGTCTTGGCAGTAATGTTGATATAGATTTTTCTGGCCTAACCATCTATGGCTGGACTGTGTTAGCCTTTGAAGGCTGGCTTGCTGGTTATCAGATGAGTTTTGACACAGCCAAGTCTAAACTGTCACAGAATAATTTCACCCTGGGTTACAACGCTGCAGACTTCCAGCTGCACACTCATGTGAATGATGGCACTGAATTTGGAGGGTCTATCTACCAGAAGGTTAAAGATTGAAACATCAATAAACGTTGCTTGTACAGCTGGCAGTAACACCCGTTTTGGCATCACTGCTAAACACAAGTTGGATTGTGGAACTTCTCTAGCTACTAAAGTAAATAAGGCCAGCCTGATCGAACTGGGTTATACTCAGACTCTTCGACCAGGAGTCAAACTGAGCCTATCGGCTTTAATCGATGGAAAGAATTTAAATGCTGGAGGTCACAAGGTTGGGTTGGGATTTGAATTAGAAGCTTAATGCAGTTTTGAATAAAGCATCAGATTTCTCCCTGGAGATGAAGAGAAATAAACCCACTATGTTTTGGCCTTAACATTCTTCTCTGAAATTTCAAAAGTGTGAACTTTTTATTCTTCCAAAGAATGGTAATCATCCCCACACTGAAGTCTAGAGATTGCAAGTCCATCCTAAGGGAGGCGCTTGAAGGCATGCCTGGAAGTTGTCATGTGTGTGCCACATTTCAGTTCAGTTCTGCAGTATTATTTAAGTGTGTTCTTCAGCGACAATGTAGTGTCATGTTGTAAAGGAAATAACCCAATTCTCCAGTTTGTGCATCACATCCTGCATGTCCCACACCACTTTTCATGACCTTTTAATACATTGGTCTCTCTGCTGTAGTGCAATCTTTGGTTTTGCATCAGAGTAAAATAAAATAAACGCATCACATTTTAACATAAAAAGTAATAAAATACTAATTCAAAAAGATATAGGCATCCCTTTGTTCATTGTGGCATTATTTACAATGGCCAAGATATGGAAGCAACCTAAGTGTCCATCAACAGATGATTGGATAAAGAAATTATGTTACTTATATACAATGAAATATTAGCCATAAAAAAGAATAAAATTTTACCATTTGCGACATGATGGACCTAGCGGCTATTATGCTAAGTGAAATAAGTCAGACAAAAAAGACAAATATCATATGATTTCACTTATATGTGGAATCTAAAATACAAAATCAATGGACAAACAAAACAGAAACTCATAGATACAAAGAACAAAATAATGGTTGCCAGATGACAGGAAGTTTTGGGGGGGCTGGTGAGGCAATTAAAAAGTAAAAATTGGCAGTTAAAAAACAGTCATGGGGATGTAAAGTATAGCATAAGGAATATAGTCAGTATTACTGCAATAACGACATGTGATGTCAGGTTACTAGACACATTGGGGTGTAAATGTGGTTCTAACCACTATGATGTATCCCTTAAACTAACATAATATTGAATGTCAATTGTAATTAAAAAAAAAAAAACTTAAAAAGAAAATAATAAAATTTCTTATTGTCCTAAAAGAAAAAAATAAATAGACTTTAGGTACTAGTTGTACCACTTACATAAGTAACCTCAGTGCAAGTTATTTAACTTCTCAAGGAAAAGTCTTAACTAACATGGAGTCTTCAAAAATGACAATACAAATGTAAAAATTCAGTGCTGCAATGCTGACTATTTCTGAGTTACACAAAAGCTATCAATTCTATTCTTTTTGACTGCATATATCAAATGTTTAAGTTTTGGTATTCACGTCATAAATGTCCGAGAAACCATGTTCCATTTTGAGTCATCCTAAACCCTTAACTTGTTTCTAGATTTTTCTTTTTTCACTTTCAACAAGAGCTATAAGGTTCTTATCTTAGTACTCTTATCCTGAAGAATAATGCTGGACTTAAAAATAATTATCTAAAAATTACTAAAATAACATGGCACAAAGAGTTTTTCATAATTTACAGAATTAAAGAACATTTTACTCTGTGAATGATAACATCTTCAAACTAAAAACTGATATGCAACGAAGTTTACATTACCTCTCGAAATGGAATGATTACACTACATAGATTGCCATCCTGGCTAGCAAAGCAGATATAGTTTTCTGAGATGCACATTTTGCCACGAGCATTGAAGTGGCTGAATGGTACCCATAAAAAACACTCATGCACTTCTTTCAAAGTTTCTTCTTTGGGAAGCCTAAAAAAAGCATTAAAGTGCTCACTGTGGGCTCGATCTTCCAGACCTCTGCAGGAAAGAAAAAAAGGGGGGCTTCAATAATAACTTCTAAAGTTCATACATGTCTATATTGATTAATCCAAATGCACTGTAAAGCAGAAAGTTTGCAAACTACATGCTGTGTAAGAAACATACTGATTCCTAACAAATTCATTTTGTTTGTTCTCTTTTCCAATTTTGTTTTATTAATGGATTACAAGGCACAAAAGTTAGAGATGAAGTAAGTCTTCACACCATCTGTTAAGGAGTGATTTGCTGGAAGATTATTGTTATATTATTATATAGTCATGTGAATATGGCTAAAGCAATCTTGGTAGACAGTAATCATTATACCTGGTAATCACAAAATCATGAGTTAACCAGTTCAAACAAAATAAAATACTAAAACTTTATGGCATACAAATTTAAACAAGAATAATAGTGCATTAAAAGGTAATATTAAAACTAAAATAGTACATAAAAGATAATACTGTTTTATAGTAATGTTTTCAACATTCCAAATTGGAGGCAAGAAAAAACAACACTGTTTGCACAGTATTGGGAACCAGATAGGTGTCAATAAAAACAGATTACTTGTTAATTTATACGTAATCATACAAATGAAAAACAATTGCTTAAAATAGTATCATTTTTTTAGAGGCACTAAACATTTGAACTAAGTATAAATGCCATCTGGGGTAGTAGGTAAATTATGCAAATTTTAACTCAAAGCCAACAAAATTAAAACTAAATTTTCCTTCCAACATATACTATTTGAATATGAGAAACTTCATCATGTTTTTCAAAATAATTTTAATAAATATGAACAAAAAATCACATTAATTTTTAACTCAAATTGTAATTCAGTGTGTTACTTCACTATTATTTAAAACGATGAGCCCTGGCCAGTTTGGCTCAGCAGTTAGAGCGTCAGCCTGCAGTCCAGAGAGACCTGGGTTCGGTTCCTACTCAGGGCCCATACCTCAGTTGCAGTTTGTGGCCCGCCCTGGTTGGGTCATGTGGGTGGTGACCACTCTATGCGTCCCTTTCACATCGATGTTTCTCTCTCTCTCTCTCCCTCCCACTGTATCTGAACAATATATCAAAAAATGTTCTCGGGTGAGGATAAAAAAATAAAAGGATGAGTTCTATTTATATCAATGAAAAGATGTCCAATCAGCACCAGGAGTAAAGATATAGAAATATCAAAAACCAACCAAGTGGAAATGAAGAATGACACAGCAGAAACTAAGAAAACATTGGAAGAACTAACCAGCAGAGAAAAGAAAGCTGAGGACGGGATCAGTGAACTGGAAGAGAGGGTAGAAAAAAATCAACTAATCAGAACCCATAAGGAAAAAACAATTAAAAAACAGGAAGACAGCTTAAAAAAACTGTGGGACAATTGGAAATGTATTAACATTCACATCATAGGAGTCCCCGAAGATGCAGAAAATAAGCAAGGGTTAGAGAATATATTTGAAGAAACAGTGACAGAAAACTTTCCTAACTTAGTCAAGGAAGAAGGCATTCAAGTTCAAGAAGCACAGAGAAGTCCAAGTAAGAAGAACCCAAACAGGCCCACACCAAGACACATAGTAATTAAAATGCCAAAAATTAAAGACAAAGAGAAAACCCTAAAAGCAGCAAGAGATAAGCAACAGGTTACCTACAAAGGAAACCCCATAAGGCTCTCAGCAGACTTCTCAACAGAAACACTACAGGCCAGAAGGGAGTGGCATGAAGTAATCAAGGTCATAAAAAACAAGGATCTGAATCCAAGACTACTCTATCCAGCAAGGCTATCATTCAAAATAGAGCTTTCCAGACCAAAAAAAAAAAAGACTAAGGGAATATATTAACATCAAACCAGCACTGTAAGATATGCTAAAAGGACTTCTGTAAATTAGTAGAAGAAATAGGAAGAAAAATAGAACCACACTAAACAAAAATGGCAATAAATGAGTACATATCAATCATCACCTTAAATGTGAATGGTTTGAATGCTGCAACAAAAAGACACAGAGTAGCTGACAGGATAAGAAAGAGTGACTCACATATATGTTTTTCACAAGAAACCCACCTCACAACAAAAGACTCACATAGGTTGAAAGTGAAGGGATGGAAAAAATCTTTCAAGCAAATGGAAAGAAAAAAAAGCTGGGAAAGCAATACCCATATCTGATAAAGTAGATTTCAAGATGAAGGCCATAACTAAAGACAAAGAAGGCCACTACATAATATTGAAAAGGTCTATACAACAGAAAGCTATAACCTTGGTGAACATATATGCACCCAATATAGGAGTACCAAAATGTATTAAAAATCTTTTGGAGGACTTCCAATGAGAAATCAACAGCAAAACAATCATAGCAGGGGACTTCAACACTCCGCTGACATCACTGGATAGATCTTCTAGACAAAAAAACTAACAAGGAAACACAGACTCTCAATGAAGCGCTACATCGAATGGATATAATAGATATCTGCAGAGAATTACACCCCAAAACTGCAGAATTCACATTCTTCTCAAGTGCACATGGGACATTCTCAAAGACAGACCGCAAGTTAGGGCACAAACTAAGTCTCTACAAGATCAAGAAGACTGAAATCAAATCAAGCACCTTCTCAGATAACAATGGCATGAAAGTAGAAATCAATTGCAACAAGAACATACAAAGACATTTGAAAACATGGAGGCTAAAATGCATGTTATTGAACAATGAATGGGTTACCATGGAGATCAAAGAAGAAATTAAAAACTTCCTTGAAACCAATGAAAATGACCACACAACAACACAAAATCTATTAGATGCAGCAAAAGCAGTTCTGAGAGGGAAGTTCATAGCACTACAGGCCTACCTCAAGAAACAAGAAAAATTTCTAATAGACAACCTAACCTCACAATTTAAAGAACTAGAGAGCAAACAAAAAGAAAACCCTGGAGCAAGTACAAGGAAGGAAATAGTAAAAATCAGAGCAGAAATAAATGACATGGAGACCAGAAAAACAATTCAAAGGATCAATGAAACAAAGAGCTGGTTCCTTGAAAGGATAAAGAAGATTCATGGACCCTTAGCTAGACTCACCAAGAAACAGAGAGAGAACCCAAATACACAAAATCAGAAATGAAAGAGGAGAAATAATAACTGACACCACAGAAACACAAAGGATTGTTAACACATATTATGAACAATTATATGGCAACAAATTCAACAATCTAAGTGAAATGGACAAATTTCTAGAAACACATAATCTCCCATAACTGAACCAGGAAGAGATAGAAAACTTGAAAAGACCAATAACAACAGAGGAAATTGAAGATGTAATCAAGACTCTTCCAGCAAACAAAAGGCCAGGCCCAGATGGCTTCACAGGGGAATTTTACCGAATATTCAAAGAACTCATACCCATTCTCCTCAAACTATTTCAAAAATTTGAAGAAAAAGAAAGACTTCCAAACTCGTTTTAGGAGGCCAGCATAATTCTAATTCCAAAACCAGAAAACTACACTACAATGAAAGGAAACTACAGACCAATATCTCTGATGAACATAGATGCTAAAATCCTGAACAAAATACTAGCAAATCGAATCCAGCAATACATCAAAAAAATTATTCACCATGACCAAGTGGGATTCATCCCAGGGATGCAATGCTGGTACAATATTCGCAAATCAATAAATGTGATACACCACATAAACAAAATGAAAGATAAAAATCATATGATCATATGAATAGATGCCGAAAAAGCTTTCGACAAAATCCAGCACCCATTTCTAATAAAAACACTCAGTAAACTGGGAATAGAGGGATCAGATCTCGAAATGATTAAGACCATATATGAAAGACCTACACCAACATCATACTTAATGGGCAAAAACTAAAAGTATTTTCCTTAAGAACAGGAACAAGGCAAGGATGCCCACTTTCGCCAATCCTATTTAACATAGTACTGGAAGTCTCAGCCACAGCAATCAGACATGAAGAAAAAATAAAAGGGATGTATATTGAAAAGGAGAAAGTGAATCTGTCATTATTCACAGATGACATGATACTATACATAGAAAACCCCAAAGACTCCATCAAAAATTTACTAGACTTAATAAATGAATTTGGCAAAGTCGCAGGATTCAAAATTAACATCAAGAATTCGTTGGCATTCTTATACACCAATGAGGAACTCATCAAACGAGAAACTAAAAACACAATTTAATTTATCATCATGGAAAAAAATTAAGATACCCAGGAATAAACTTAACCAAAGAAATAAAGGACCTATTTGCAGAAAACTACAGCTCATTAAAAAAAAGAAATAGAGGAAAATATAAAAAAGTGGAAGCACATACCTTGTTCATGGATTGGAAAAATTCACATCATTAAAATATCCATATTACCCAAAGCAATCTATAGATTCAATGCAATCCCCATCAAAATACCAACGACATACTTCACAGAACTACAACAAATACTTCAAAAGTTCATATGGAACCAAAAAAGACCTCAAATAGCCACAGCAATCTTGAAAAAAAAGAACAAAGTTGGAGGGATCACATTACAAGATTTCAGGTTATACTACAAAGCCACTGTAATAAAAACAGCCTGGTAATGGCACAAGAATAGGCATATAGACCAGTGGAACAGAACAGAGAATCCAGAAATGGACCCAAGGCAATATGCTCAATTAATATTTGACAAAGGTGGCAAGAACATACAGTGCAATAAAGACAGCCTGTTTAATAAATGGTATTAGGAAAATTGGACAACTACATGCAAAAAAATGAAACTAGACCATCAACTTAAACCATATACAAGAATAAACTCAAAATAGATAAAAGACAAATGTGACTCATGAATCCATACAAACCCTGGAAGAAACTAGGCAACACAATCTCACACATCATACGCAGCAGAATTTTCACTGATCCATCACCTAAGGCAACAGAAACACAGGAGAAAACGAACACATGGGACTACATCAAACTCAAAAGCTTCTGCACAGCGAAAGATACAATCATCAAAATGGAAAAGCATCTGACTGTATGGGAGAGCATAAATGCCAATGATATATCAGATTAAAAGGTTAATTTCATATATATATATATATATATATATATATATATATATATATATAGTGCTCATATAACTCAACAAAAGGGAAACAAAGAACCCAATTAAAAAATGGGCTGAGGAACTAAATAGACACCTCTTCAAACAGGACATACAAATGGCTAAGAGACATATGAAGAAATGCTCACATCACTAATCATCAGAGAGATGCAAATTAAAACAACAATGAGGTATCACCTCACATCTGTCAGAATGGCCGCCATCAACAAATCATCAAACAACAAGTGTGGAGAAAAGGGGACTTTAGTACACTGCTGGTGGGAATGCAGACTGGTATAGCCACTATGAAAAACAATATGGTGTTACCTCAAAAAAGTAAAAATTGAACTTCCATTTGACCCAGTGATCCCACTTCTAGGAATATAACCTAAGAAGCCTGAAACACCAATCAGAAAGAATATATGTACCCCCATGTTCATAGCAGCACTATTTACAATAGCTAAAATCTGGAAACAGCCCAAGTGTTCATCAGTAGGCGAATGGATAAAAAAGCAATGGTACATATACACAATGTAGTACTATGCAGCTGTAAGAAAGAAAGATCTCTTATCCTTTGAGACGACATGGTGGGACCTGGAAAGTATTATTCTAAGTGAAACAAACCAAGCAGAAAAAGACAAATACCACATGATCTCACTTATTTGTGGAATATAATGAACATAACAGTCTGAGGAATGGGGTAGTCCCAGAGATATGAAAGTGGGGTACAGACTGACAATCCCCGGAAGAGTGGATATTGGGTGATAGATAAGCCACAGAACTTATATGCACGTATGCATGAAAAATGGACATGGAGTATAAAGCTGGAATAGGCCAGGAAGGGCGGAGTGGGGGGTATCAGTGGGGGACAAGGGAGAAACATCTGTAACAAAAATAAATTAATTAATAAAGAAAAAGAAAAGTTATCCATGATATATTATTTTAATGGGGGAGCAAAGTGTAGAATAATATGTGATGTTTAATCCAATTCATGGTTTTTGCAAATATTTTTTTAATTCATGCATTAAAAAGTCTGGAAGTATATATGCTGTACTTAACTATAATTATTATGTTTCTGTATTATTTAAGTTAAAGTAATACATATTAGTAAAAACAAGCTGAATCAATAGACATTCCATTTTTGACCTAAATATAAGTCTAAATATAAGCCATTATTCTTTTTAACTTACTAAAAAAAAAAATAGGATTTAGATATATAATTTTCAATAGGTTCTTTTAAAAATATAGACAAAAGCGGATTTCCTATATCTCATTTATATACAGATTTGGTAATGAATAACTCATTGATAGGTGGCCTTTTAGAGGGTATTTAAAGGGAAATGAAATGGCTGAAAAGTTTATGTGTATGGTGGCCAATCAAAAAACAAACCACAAAAACCAAACAAAGACAAATGTCCAACTATAACATAAATAGGATTCTTAATCCTCTTAGATTTGCATTTACAAATCATGTACACCGGGACCTAATTTTGGTAATGAGTTGTAAAAAATTCACCTTGCTGATCTATTTTTCAGAAAAGCAGGAAGGTTCACAAAATAATCCTTATGGATATGGAGTTTAGGAATAATTTAAGAATAGGTAAGAGGAATGACTGTACCCAGTTTAGACTCTATAATAATCACAAAACCATCCAGGTCACTTGTTCTGTCTATCCATAGGACTATGGCTTAGGTTCCTCCTATACTTCCCCATACAATCTATACCCTCATCCTCCTTGCCAGAAGCTGCTCTCACTGGCTGTTTCTGGATCCTCTCCTGTCTCCCTCCACTTTTGGAATGCTCATTTCAGTCAACTGTTCTGAATGTTGAGCAGAAAGAAAGTATACTAGTCAGTTTCAGCAAACCAAGTATAGAGGCACACAGCTTTCAGACAAATACTTCTGATGCAGGAACTATTAATGATTAACATTTATCTAGTGCTTTACATTTTACAAAATGTTTCACTCAATATATTGCTCATTCCTTAAAAGTGCTCTCTGAGTTGGAAATAGATGAAAAACAGAGGTCCTAAGAGATTATGACTTGTCTAAGAGGTCTTCTACTCTCCTTCTAAAGACTATTCTCCACTGACTCCAGAAACTTGCCTCCTCATAAAAAATTTGCTGTAAATTAGTCTTAAAAATAACACATTTAACAATTTCAGACCTAAAACTATCTAGACTACTCATACAGAAATTTAGAGTTAGATTAATCCTGCACACATAAATATCTATATTTCTGAAAGCACTCCAGGGCAAATCCTACTTGGGATCTCAAGAAATAATTTTCAAACCTAACTTGTATCGTTTCTTAGGATTAAATTTCATGGAGAGAATACTATTTGTGAAATGCATGTAAATAAACTAAAAATATATCAATAATTAACTACAAAGAAAAACTATCATATAATGCAGAACGGTTAACTTAAAAACATTTTTTTTCTTTAGTAATTTTTTAGAGAGAGAGGAAAGGAGAGGGAGGGAGAGAGAGATAAAGACATCAATGAGAGAGAACATCGACTCGTCGCCTCCCCCATGCCTCCCACTGAGGATCAGGCCCACAATTTGGGCATGTGCCCTGACTGGGAATTGAACAGGTGACCTCCTGGTTCATGGGTCAATGCTCAACCAATGAGCCACACTGGCCAGGCGAACGGTTAACTTTTAATGCTAATCAATGCTAGTGTTCTTTGGTCAAACAATACCTTAAAAAATAAGTATTAATTAAGGTTTGAATACCTTTTGGTGATTTGTAGAGGATCCTCAAGGACTGGGTCATTATCAAATGTTTCCTTATCAAAAAGTCTCTTTACAGCATAGCTGGCCAGCTGTTCCATAAGAAGGTATGTTTGATTAATATGCAAAAACATTGAAAAGTAGTGACTCTCCCCTTGGGAACATACATGAATACTTTCTGTCAGTATGACATTTGAAGTCTTTTCAAGTTTTGAGATCGCATCCCAAGAGATAATGAGTTTTACTGAAAATAAGAATTATAAGCAGATCTGATTAAATTTCTCAATATTGATTAATGTTTATCAATTAGGTCTTTTGAAACAATAGTAACATACTTGAAAAATGCTATGAACAACTAAAATACTTGAGTTCACCATCATTTATAATTTTGAATTATAACCATGAATATACATTAATTGGTGAGTCTAGGAATAGATATATATTACTCTGTTACTTTACATAATTACAAAATCATTGATGTACTATGGTTAGTATATTTATATTGTGTGATTAAAACAGGGATTGAGGAACGTAGGTAGTTTAGAACAATGGACAAAAAGAAGTTATACATGCCAGATCACCATCATCATTTCATATTCATTCACTTTCCACAATATGCAAGGAATTCTATACCCACTTCTTATGGTTCCTATTTTAAACAACCAGACTTAAAAGGACTCTTTCTCTAGATCAAGTGAACTTTTTTTGTATTTTTAGAGAGAAGGGAAGGGAAAGAAAGAGAGAGAGAGAGGGAGGGAGGGAGGGAAGGAGGGAGGGAGAGGGAAAAAGAGAGAAAAACTGATGTATGAGAGAAACTTAAGCATGTGCCCTGACCGAGAATCGAACCAACAAACCTTTGGTGCATGGGATGATGCTCCAACCAACTGAACCACACCAGCCAAGGCTAGATCAATTGAACTTTTAATGTACAGTTTAATTACCCTTAATATCAATCCTATTGCTTTATATATAACCTAACACCACTACAAAATTGATAGGTCAGGTCAGTCAGCAAGTTCAAAGTCATGGTAAGCAATAGAAACCACTTACCTTCTGATCCCAATAAAAAAGAATAAAAGCTCAGGAAGTTGGTGCTAAGATAGAGCCAGCCCTGACAAGGAACCCGTCCTTTCCAGTAACTGCATGAGTAATAGGTCACTAACTTCTCCTGCTCTGGTAAACCAAAACATTTTTCAAATTTCAAAAGAGTTTCTCGAAATTTCTCAGGATCATCTTCTTTTGCAAAAGAATGTTTTCCTTCTTCAGCAATTAATCCCTAAGGGAAATAAAATATTTTTTGAAAATTAATCATTAACTACCAACAAAAATATTTTTCATATATTTAAACAGATCATTGACAATAACTATGTATATCTACACAGGTGCATGTATCATATGTATATGTGTGCATATTATATACTTAGGACAGAGGTGAGCAGATTTTCTTTAATTTTGTCATTAGGCTTTTTCTCACAAAGAACTACCACAAATGCAGTTGCTAAATATTGTTTTGATTGAGTGAAGTGTTCACTCAAACTCCAAACTCAAGAGATATTAAAATAAAGATAGTCCTAAGAGCACTCACAAGGGCACCAAAGGCTTAACCACTGACTATAATTTTCTTTAGCACTGATTCTGACATCCATGTGTGTGCTTCTGCCAATTCTGAAAGGTGCTAATAGAACACTGACCTTCCATGCAGCCTTTGATCCTCAAATAAGAGGGTCAAAGATTTTTGTATTCCATCTACAAATTGTATCTATGCCACTTACTCTTATCTTTCCTTGTACAAAATTAGTAATATCTTTACTTGAATCAAACACAGATAAGGTCTTCATGATATTTTGTTCCAACCAATCCCAATGCTTCATTATTTCTTCTCTGTTGGCTCCTGATTAATAATGAAAGAGAATAAAAGACTCAAGAAAAACTCCACAACCAAATTGCTCTTGCTATTTACAAGCTTAGTTAAAAAGAAATAAAATTATATTTGCTTATTTTCAAAAATGATATTCATTAAAATAAAGGTATTACATTTATTCTCTATTTCATCCCTATATATGGGCTTGAACACTATTTTCATTATAAATACAATTAATAAAATGTTTAATGAAAGAGGAGAAAAGTAAATATAACTTATGAGGAAAGATCAAATTCTGAAAACAAGATGCTTGTAACTGGTGCCTACAATAACCAGTATCTTTTAAGAGAATAAAGACTACCAGAACACACATATAGATAATTTAATCCTTGGTCTTCAAATAATAATACTGTGCCTGTAATCTGTGTGACTGAAAACAGCATGCATGTGACAATCCTATGCATATTGTATAAATGTGGAGTTCAAGTGTGGCAACTCAACTTATTTCAGAAGGTCTGAAGCCTTTGCTCAGAGTCACCCTTAAATTCAAAGCCCTAGTCAATGAAAAGAAATTTCATGAAAGAAATTAGAAATCCAGCAGCAAGGTTAAATCCATGTTACCTGTTGAATCAGGGTTAGGTGGCATTTTGGGAGTCAGATTAAATAAATTAAATCTGGGTGCTTTGGCTTGAAGTATATTACAGTACCGATCTCCACATGTAACCCACATACCTTAAAGATCTCCCCAGCATTGTGGATTATACAAATCTCAATCAAAAGAAATACTATGGCTTTTCAGTATATTTCATAATATATGGAGAGTGACACTTTAAAAATTTATTGAAACTGGCCCTGGCCAGTTTGGCTCAGCGGTTAGAGCGTCGGCCTGCGGTCCGGAGAGACCCGGGTTCGGTTCCCGCTAAGGGCACGTACTTTGGTTGCAGTTTGTCCCCGGCCCTGGTTGGTCATGCGGGTGGCAGCCACTCGATGTGTCCCTTCACGTCGATGTTTCTCTCTCTCTCTCCCTTCCTCTCTCTCCCTCCCACTCTATCTGTACAAAAAATAGAAAAATATCCTCGGGTGAAGATAAAAAAAAATAAATAAAAAAAAAATTTATTGAAATTGCAAAATTGCCTATTTCCTACAATTCACTTAGAATTGTACTCATGTTATTAAAGTCACCTTACCAAGTGTAATCACTTTCTTTAATGAACTACAGATAAAACTCATGGGAAAATTTTAAGGCCTTTATTTTGGTCCTTTATGTACAAGGAAGCTTCATTAGTAGGTAATTACTATATTTCTGCATCAGGTCAACAGGAGGATTAAATTATATAATCATTCTTTTAAAAATAAAAGTGGAAAGGACATTTTTTTTTTCTAAATAATTTCTACCAACCAAATTTAGAATTCAGGTTACAGACCTCGCATGATATCAGCAGGTGTAGTGTCTTCTTCATATAGTTTACATGACATTCAATTTCAGAGAGCCAGGAGAAAATGCTCACCTGCTACGCTAAAGGAAATTTAGAGGGAGATGCAAAAAACAAGCCACACATCTTTAAAAATTAATTGTATGCTGTAGCTATATGTTCATGCATATGAACTATTCAAAATCACATGAATTTTTTTTGAAAAGTATATCCACTTGAGAAGAGGAGAGGAGAAAAGAAAAAGACAGCCTTTCAACATTTAAAAAGCCAAAAATCTGGGATTCTATTTTAGACAAATATAATGGCATCATAAAAAAAAAAGGTAACAAACTGTCATGGTGTTTTTTGAAATTTTGCGTTGCTTTATTAGGAAGAATACAAACAGCTCCAGGAGGAATGAATATGTAGCATCACCTGAAAGATGTCCTTTCATATTTCAATATTTCAAGGATGGAATGCCTTTTGTGAAAACGTAGGTGTGCAACTAAAAAGTATTCAATTTTTCAGGCTTACAAAACTTTCCTAGGGAATGACTCTTAAGTTTTGGGCTTGATTCTCCTCATCTGAGTTATTACAGCTGAAACAAAGTATTTTATGGGGATGTTCTAATTTTTCTTACAGCTGAAATGTATAAATGTGAATTTCGAGTGTGGCAACTCAAGTGTGGTTCTCATTTTCCTTACAGGTGAATCAGGAGGAATATGTTGAAGAATGGAGTTATAAAGCAGTAGCAATACCAAAATTTGCTCAGAATCAGCACTGCTGGAACACACGTTTCAGTTCCCTCACACTGATCAATGTTTTAAAAACCGTAAAAATCTGTAATCCTTCTTAAATAACAATTAGATGTCTTCCTATTCTCTCAAAGTACAGTTGTACATTTAACTCTTTTCTAAATCAAAACAACTTGGGAGTATAAATTTATTCAATTAATTAATGTCCTTATTTGTTTGAATTATATGTTTTAAAAATCACACTCACCACAAGCAATTGACAGGTAAACTTGAGAATCTGGTGTCTGGTGTAGAATACGAAATGGAGCTACTTTGGCAGTAGAGTCTAAGACTGAATCAAGAGTCCCAACCAGAAGCCCTGTTGTAATAAAGACACTGTTGAAATAAGGATTTTACAAGAGATGAAACCAGTAGTAACTTCATATGACAAAAAACAATGAATTTACTTTAAAAAAATATCTAGCTCAAAGTTTCCTTATAGAGACCTTTCTTAAAGAAAAAATATATTCTGGATGAAGAAATTATAGTGTTCCTATGTGAGGAGTGTTTGAGAAAATGATCTTTTAATAAAATAAGTCAGGTTCACTTGCCCAATCTCAAGATATATTTGCAATATAGATATCCTTTACAAGGTTGCGTATATAACAGATAAGAACGTAGATGCTGGTACCAGAGACTACCTGGTTTTGAATCCTTGCTCTGCTCTGTCAATTACTTATGTCAACTTGAGCCAGTAGTACTTAACCTTTTCTTCATTCACATTTGCAAAATAGGGGTTAAAAGAGAACCTACCACAAAGCGTTGTTGTAAAGATAAAATGAGTTGTTATTACATATAAAACACTTAGAACAATGCTTACCACGTAGTAAAACACTCAATGTTAGCTAACACTGATGTAAAAAAATCTTAACTATTTAAACAAGATAAAATCTTAGTTAAAATGCTTAGGTGAAAGGATTTTCTAAAAACAATTCTTAATTCTTCATTTGGAATTCAAGGTTTTGATCAGTTAGTTCCAGTTTAATGACCTGATTATATTTCCTACTACTCCCTAGAACAAAGTTTTCTGTTTTCTTAAACAACCAATTAATTTCTCCCCTCGGGCCTTTGTTAAGCAATCCTAAGAAAAGTCTTCTAGCCCAGTCCAGCAAAATTCAACATTTTCTTCAAGACCTGCTTCCCCCATGAAATATTTCCTGACAACCCCAAGCAATAATGTTTTGCCTTTTCTCTGATTACTTATAGCATATAAAGTCTATACAACACAACCTACCATTTTGATTATTAGTCTACTTATTACAACTACTTTTAAGTCCTCCAGGTATATTAATCTTGTCTCTTTATCTAGATTATTAGTTCTCTGAGGAAATAACCACATCTTCTACATCTGGGTTTGCATCTTTTTAAAAATATGTTTTTATTGATTATTTAGACAGAGGAAGGGAGAGCTAGAAACATCTATGTGAGAGAGAAACATCAATTGGCTGCCTCCTGCATGCCCCCTATTGGGGATTGACCCCAAACTCAGGCATGTGCCCTGACCAGGAATCAAACCAGGACCTCTCGGTCCATGGGAGGACACTCAATCCACTGAGCCAAATCACCTGGGCTGGGTTTGCATCTTTAGCTTTCAACATATTTTGGGGCACAATAGGAGCTAAATTGTTGATTTAACTGTATCAATGGGATGGCTGAAATATATAAATCCACCTTTCTTTTTAGAAATTTTGATTGGTTGTATGTTGGTTTTGCTTTATGGGGCATTTCTCTTTAATTTACATTACAGATATTTGAGAAAAACATTAAATCAATTATAAAGTAGGTTTTTGACTATTTTCTTATCTTTATACACTTAAAATGAGTTAAAATTTCAAGCAAGCTTTGAATGTGAATATGGGTAAGGTTGACAGATGTGAGGTAGGAGGTCATAAGCTTAGAAGGAGGCAAATTAGAAGAGTAGGAGATAGAACAAGGAGATAAAGAGAAATTTGGCTCAGCAGAAAGGAAGGGGTAGAAGAGTGGATGTAGAAATTGGTAGAGAGTAAAAATAGGGGTCACAAAAGCAGCATAGTATCAATTAGCAAAGTCACAGAGGGTTTTGATAGTGGGAATAAAGTATCAAGGGAAAAGATTTTGGCAATAACAATACGTGCAGATTATAGATAAAAGAAGTTATCTGATATGAAAAAAAGTTACCATATGAATTAAGACTTTACTTAAGAAAGAGAAATGAGAAAATCCAGACAAGAACTTAAATTCTAAAAAAGGTTTCAAAGAAGTATTTTCAAGGAAAATCATTTATTTCACCTTTACCACACTTTCAATAAAACTAGCTCAAATCCAATTTCCTTATTTACATACACTAGAAAAAGGTAGTAGTAGAAGAATAGTAAAAAGACCAAAGAGATAAAGAAAATTTTGACTCAGCTGAGAGAGAACACTGGGAGTGTGGATGTGTGAGAGGTAGAGATGGAAGGACAGGCCACAGATAATCATTCCTGAGTAACATTATAACAATTAGTTCTCTCAAAGAATGAGACTGGGGACAAAGTGGTCAAATTCACTGGCAAGAAAGGTCATTTCTTTTTGCAGCAGAAATATTTGCAAGATAGGTGGCTTACACCATATAGAAAGGAAATTGCTCAGTTTTTGTAAGTGCATGAAATCAGGCAGTTAGCATAAAACTATGCAACAGATAATTTGGAAGCTAGTTCTAAAATACATTTGTAGTCACTTGAGAAACTCTTCCAGCTCATTAAGCTTTAATCAGCAAATCTCTGCAAGTCATTCAGGAACTAATATGTGCCAATATCTGGGTTTTAAAAGTACAATACACCAAGCTGACAACTTTGGGTTGCTTTTCCATATACACAGAGATTCATCATCTGACAGCATGAACACCAAAAGTTATAAATCAGCCTACACAAGACATTCTTTAGCCATAGTAAATTGGGAGAACAGATACCATCTCTCAGCTGCATGGCACAAAACAAGAGATTTAAAAATAACAAGAAATTCAAATCAATATTTGAATATCTATAACTGAGTAAGGTACCAATGTTCTAGACCCTGATAAAGGCCTATGGGGTTTTGGTAGCATCCTGCCATACAAGTAATACCAAACTTCTCAAGGAAAGTCACCACCATAATTGATGTGAAATACTTTTTATTAAATGACATGGCTAAATAACAAAAAAGCAAGGTTCTATGACTTTGAAAAAAAATAGGCAATTTGCAGGTAATGATTATTTTTTATGAACCAATTATTTTATTTATTGATTGATTTTAATGAGAGAGGAAGGGAGACAGAGAGAGAGACAGAGAGAGAGAGAGAGAGAGAGAGAGAGAGAAATATCAGTCTGTTGTTCCACTTATTTATGCATTCATTGCTTGATTCTTTGTTTTTTTTTTTTTTTAATCCTCACCTGAAGATATTTTTCCATTTATATTCAGACAGAGCGGGAGGGAGGGAAGGAGAGAGAGAGAGAGAGAGAAAGAGAGAAACGTTGATGTGAGAGAGACACATCGACTGGTTGCCTCCTGCACAACCAGAAGAGAACCGGGTACCGAACCGCAACTGAGGTACGTGCCCTTGACCAGAATCGAACCCAAGACTCTTTGGTCTGCAGTCCAATGCTCTATCCACTGAGAAAAACTGGCCAGGGACATTGGTTGATTCTTGTATGTGCCCTGACCGGGATCAAACCACAACTTGGACTTGTTGGGATGACACTTTAACCAAATGAGCAACCCAGCCAGGGCCTGAACCAATTCTTTATGACTGGATAGTGATATAGCACCACTGACTTTACTGATGAAAAATATACTAACAGGTCATATAGTCCAACCTCCAGCATATTAATCTCCACTGTAAGATCCCTGATAATAAAGCCTAGCTTTTCCTTTATAATCGCAGAGTTCACTTCTCCCAAGGCAGCCTATTAAATTGGTGGGGATTTCATTACTAGGAAAGTCTTTCTAAAATATGAAAGGATTTATATATATCCAAATGGAATAGTCAAGGCTGGCTTCATGGGCTTCATGACCTTTCCATAGGTCCCCATGCTCAGAAGGGCCCCTTGCTTGGTTAAATGCTCTGCTGTCACCACCGTGAAATTCTTAATTTTAAATAAAGAGGTCTGCTTGTTCATTTTGCACTAAGCCCCACAAATTAGGTTACAGTAGGTATCTCCGGGCAGTGGAATAATGGGTAATAATTATTTTCTTTTTCATACTTATACATATTTTCTGAAATTTTTACAATAAACATTTTTAACCTTTAAGATAGAAAAATAAAGCTTCCTCTACACACTTATAAAAGGAAGGTCATTCTTAGAATTAAATGCTACTTCTTGCTGAGCCAGTGTGGCTCAGTGGATTGAGTGTCAAACCATGAACTGAGAGGTCCCAGTTCGATTCCCTGTCAAGGCACATGCCTGAGGTTGTGGGCCAGATCCCCAGTGGGGATAATGCAGGAGGCAGCCAATCAATGTTCTCTCTCATCAATGTTTCTATCTCTCTCCCCATTCATCTCTCTCTAAACTCAATAAAGAAAAAACATGTTTAAAAAATAGATTGCAAAATGGCAGCAAGCAGAGTGAATGGAAGCTACACAGATTGTCTCCCAGGACCAAACTGGAATTACAACTAAAATAAAGACAAATCAATGAGAAAAAGCAACAGAAAAGCGGCTTGTGAGGATCATATAACCAGGGACACTGAGTAGATCCTGGTAGGACTGGGGAGGCGCGAGAAGGGGGCTGGGAGCCCACAGACAGCAGCGGCCTTAGCTGTGAGCAGCACCCTCGGGTTAAACAACCAAGCAGCTCCACAGCACAGAGCCAGAACAGACGCTAAAACAGCCACAGTCACTCACCTTCGGCTCCGGCAGAGGGAGGGCAGACTGGTCTAAAACTGTGTGGGGACACTTGGGATTTGGAGGGGGCTCAGAGCTTTTGCTGAGTTGCAGCCATGTAGCACGGTGGCCATCTTACTCCTTCCCAGGGCTCTGGGGAGAGGCGGCAGCCCCTCCCTCAGAGATTCAACCCCACCCAGGTGGGCCATTGAAATGCAAATTGAGGCTCAATAACAACCAGCATCTGCCCCATCCTCCAGAAGTCCCCTTAGGCTGAGCACCTGAGGGAGTTTTTCATTCAACTGACAACCCAAGGCTCTTCAAGAAACAACTGCTAATATCCTCCAGGCAAAAAGCTAGAGGAAAACTGTACCATGCCTGGGCAAGCAACTCTAACCAGGAAAGTAAGACTTGACAGTGGTGTTTAAAGTGGGTCCTCCCTCGCTCATCCAAACCCAGGAGAGGGAGCCACAGAGAGCAGAACAACAACACACACAGGGAAA